AGAGTAGGTGTGTGATGAATGAAGGGAAGAGGAGATAAACGGAGGAATGATGGCTATCACTTGCCGGGGTGGTGAGAGAGCCTGGACAGAACCTGGGGTTCTATCTCCCACTTAGAGCCCTTTTCGCTAAACAGCTCCTCTTAATGCGTCATGCAAATCCACCGGCCAGGGAATGGTGCCTGGATTAAATCCCCACGTTTCCAAGGGCTCCACTGCTGTCCCGGAGGCTCACTCGGAGTGATGGGTGTGAAGACAAACAGGCACAGAGGCCTTGTGTTCGCCCGCCCGTGGGCCTCTTCACACAGCGAGCAGGAAATAAATGACTCAAATGTTCCCTTTGGCTCAGGCGGTTGTTTAAATGGGATTCCACCCTCAGCGGCCAAGGGAGGGGAGCTGGGGGGTGGAGCGGGGCGCGGTCCCTTCAGACCCCTCCCCGGCTGGGCCTGGATGGAACTGGACGAAGGTCTGTGTGCCAAGGTTTGCTTTTGCACAGGGCAAGCCTCTGCTGGCCAGGCCACCGAAAATCAGCTCACAGCAGGGGCAAAGGATCCCCCGTTCCACGAGGAGCACAGGATGTCTGAGTCTCTGAGACGTCTCCAGAACAGAGGGGAGCCCCGTGTGAGCTCCAGGATGGGCTCAGCCTTCCCAGGGGTTTACTGCCCAGGTCAGAGGACCCGGGAGCCGCCAGGCAGACGGCCAGCGTGGGGTCCGAGTGGCCGACGCCCACGGGGGACAGCACTGCCCTGGACCTTGTACGAGGGCCACCGGTGGGGGGCTTGGCTCGTCTGGTTTGTTCAGAACCCAGCGGTCCGTGGTGGGGGTGACATGGGCAGTGCCCACAGACAACGCATAACACAGGACGGGCCAGGGCAGAAGGGTCGTGAAAGCCATCTTGGAATCTTAGCTCAGGAGTGGTGAGCGTGGCAAGGTTTCCTGTCCGGTCAGGCTCTCGGAGGCGTCCTCTGTAAGTGCAGCGTTGTGAAGACAGCAGGGCAGGTTGTGACACAGCATGGGGGAGGCACCTGCACCCCATCTAGAGCATCACGGGTGCTCACGAACATAATTTCCCAGCCAGGCTTTCGAAACACCCCTTGCCTGACCCAGCCCACCTCCTGGCCTCTTGGGCCCTGCCTCGCCGGCTGTTACTGCCTGAGCATGGCTGGAGCCCCCAGCTCCGGCTCTGCTCACTCGGGTCCCCTGTCACTCGCGTGGGGAGGGCAGCCACCGTGGGAGCTGACAGGCAGGGCTGGGAACGTCCCTCAAATCCTCACGCACCCTCCACCGAGCTGAGGGCCTCAGGGATGTGACTTACCTTCTCCGTGTCTGCCTTCTCCTCTGCAAAACGAGGCCAATGGCAATTCCTCCGCCAAAGGCTCCTTGTGAGGATTAGGTGAGACATCTCAGGAGTGAAGCCCTTTGGGCAACACTCTGCACGGCCCCCAGTGATTCTCGGTGCTGGGCTTCGCAGCTGGGACTTCTCCCTCGCGGCATCTCTCCAGGTTCCTACCAGGTGCACCATGCCCTTGAAATGGACCATGAGACCCATGTTCAAGTCTGCGCGTCTCTCCCACACCAGCCTGAGGTTCCCCCCGAGACAGGGCCGAGCCTTCCGTGGCCGCCATTGTCTGCACAAGGCCCAGTGACCTGGCCTCCACTGAGACCAGTGGGGGGCGGCAGCGCATTCCACTATGGGCACCCTTGACTCCACCCCATGTCCCCCAAAGAGGTTCTCACTCAGTTGTTCTTAACCTGGAATCCAATAGAGGCCCAATAGTGGACTTCAGGGAGAATAAATCCCCCAACTACATGCTTAAGTGTGTGTGTGTGTGTGTGTGTGTGAGACTGCACATTTCGGAAGAGAAATTCCTTACTCTTCATCAGATTTTCAGAAGAGTCTGTGTCTTTATTTTATTAAAAGCACGTAACTCTCTCTGAAATTCCATTATTTACTTGTTTATCGTCTGTCTCCACCCCTAGAAAGTAAGCTTCGGGGCGACTCATCTTATTTACAGATACATCCACAAGCCCAAAACAGAGCCTGGCACATAGTGGGTTCTCGGTATTTTTTGAATGAATGAATGAGTGAATGAGGTTCTTTGACCCAAAGGCACAGATCCTGCCCTGTAATGGGGGTCTGGGAAAGCCCTGGACACGCGGCGGGGGCCCCCTTCTCCAGGCAGCTCCAGGGCGGAAGGCAGCTGGAGCAGACTGGTTCTCCTGGAACAAGTCTATTGAGGGGAGGGTCTCAGAGTGCTCAGATTGGATCCACCTGAGACGAAGGGAATTCGAGGCTCTCTGTCGTATAACAAGTTTGCCCAAAACTTAGTGGCTTCAAACAATTTTGCTGTAGCTCATGATTTTGTGGTCAGGCATTCATGCAGGCTCTGATGCTTCTGCACCACGTGGCATTGACTGAGATCACTTGACGGCACTCAGCTGGCAGATGGGCTGGTCCTAGAAGGTCCAGGGCAGCTCCCCTCACATGTCTGGTAGCCTGGTGGGGTGGTGAGAAGGCTGGGTGCAGCAGCGACTGTCTACAGGGCTCCTATACCTGGTCTCTCCAGCACAGCCGCCTCAGGGGAGTCAGACTTCTACAAGGCAGCTCAGGACTCCCAAAGGCCGTTCCAGAAGATCAAAGCAGGCGCTGCAAGGCTTTCAACCTGGCCTTGGAAGTCTGGGGTCATTGCTTCTATCACCTCCTACTGGCAGCAAGCAAGTCAGAGCTAGACCGGATTCAAGAGAAAGAGACGGGAACTGCAAGGAGTGTAAATACCATTGGGGTAGGTAGGGGTGGGGCACCCTCTCAGTACTCAACGGCCACACACGGCTGGTGGTTACACGGGACAGGGCAGGGCTAGAGGGAGGAGTTGGGTGGACCTCCCTCTGCAGAGCTAAGTGGCCTGGATGCTGGTAGAAGTCTGGGCCTGTGTTTAAGATGCAAGAACTCACTCCCCAAGGATAACAACCTTTTCTGCAATACTCTCCTGTCCAGGCTGAAGAGAAGAGAAAGGCCAATTACCGAGAAAATAAATGGTTTATTTTTCCTTATATCCACAGCAGATTAGTAATAATACACAATCACACAGAACTTTGCTTCTCCTGACAGAAAGCGTATTCTTTATTTGGACAAATACAAAGACAAAACACCCTGGCTTTGACATGGGGCCAGCAAGGACATGACCAAATGGATCATTTCGGGTAAAAGGGAGTGCTGGGGTAACCTGAGGATTCCCCACCAGGGGGGCCAGGGGCCCAGAGAGCCACAGAGGATGAGAGCAGTAATCTAGGCCAGTCCCTTGACTTACAGCCCTCTAGGCTCACCCTGAGTTCAGAGCTGAGCACGTGAACTTGGGCATAAAAGATGGTGGTAAAAGCTTGAAGAAAAAATCCCAAGAAGAAACGGAAGCTGAAGGAAGCAGGATGGTCTATTGAAGAAACATCTTATCCTTTGCCTCTTGCTAGTGTCAAAGTAAGAAAAGACCTGAGATTTTAAAAACAATGGGACTCTGGAATGAAGTTAAAAAAATCACACAAACAAAAACCAAAAAAAAATCCTTGTTAGAGATTCTTTAAAAAGAAAAAAAAAAAGGTCTAAAACTCTGCAGCAGAAATTTTGTTTTTTGGTTTTTTGAGGTACATTTATTTCTTTTATTGAAGTATAGTTGATTTACAATATTGTATTAACTTTCAGGTGTACAGCATAGTGATTCAATATTTTTATAGACTATATTCCATTAAAAGTTACTACAAGATAATGGCTATAATTCCCTGTGCTGTACAGTATATCCTTGTTGCTCATCTTTTTTATATACAGTAGTTTGTATCTCTTAATCCCATACCCCTACTTTGCCTCTTCCCTTCCCTCTCCTTTTTGGTAACCACAGTTGGTTTTCTATATCTGCTTCTGTTTTGCAAATACATTCATCTGTATTATTTTTTAGATTCCACATGTCAGTGATGTCGTGCAGTATTTGTCTTTCTCTGTCTGCTGCAGAAGTGTTTGAGGTCAGTCCTGCTGGAACAGGGAACGGGGTTTGCTAACTGTACATGGCTCTTTCTAGCCTTAGGAATCTCCATTTGCTCAAATGAGACGTGGAAAGACAGACATAAGATGACATTTGGACAGACGCCACTTTCTGCAAAGAGAGAACTGGACTCAGGTGTACAGACACGGTTTTGTGGGAGCAAAAGAACAAAGAAAATTGTAAACCCAGATTTTCTATTTGATCCTCGGTAGAAGGTTTGACATCTCAGATTAGGAACAAAAAACAAAGTGAAACTATATATGTATAAAGGTCACTCTGAACATGTTTACCTTAAATGACAAGCAGAGACCAGGAAAAGACAAGGAAATGAATTTAAGGGACTCAAGGTCCAAATATACTAATCCATTCCTATTTGTTTCATCTTGTTTCTTTTTTCAACAACTTGGAGAAAAAAATGCAGGAAGAATGGCCTGACTGAGCTGACCTTAGTCTTCACAAGGCCAAGAATGGACAAGCCTTGTTTCCCAGATGCTGGAGGTGGTCCTTCATCACTAACGGGGTGTCCAACCCTGCAGGGCCTGGATCCTTCCCGGACAGGACTCCCTGGACTTCATTACCTTCTATGTCTCAAAATGACCAAAACTGACACCTGGCAGAGTATAATGCATTCAGAAAACCTATTATGAGCAGGAATATTTGGAGTTAGACATTATTTTCTTAAACCTTCATTGGGGTTCAGAATCAAATGACCACTTCATGCAAATTCATTTCTTTTTTTTTTTGCTGTACGCGGGCCTCTCACTGTTGTGGCCTCTCCCATTGTGGAGCACAGGCTCCGGACGCACAGGCTCAGCAGCCATGGCTCACGGGCCCAGCCGCTCCGCGGCATGTGGGATCTTCCCAGACCGGGGCATGAACCCGTGTCCCCTGCATCGGCAGGCAGACTCCCAACCACTGCGCCACCAGGGAAGCCCAAATTCATTTCTTTTGACTCCCATAAAGGCAAGGTTTAGAGTTTTCATCCTATTTTTAATCTGGCCTGAAAAATATATTTCAGTGTTCAGTGATCTGAAACCTCCTCTGAGATAGCAGGGAATTAAATGGCTTATGAATATAACTGTGTGTGCGTTTACATATCTATGTTTTGTTTTGTTTTGTTTTCTTTGCGGTACGCGGGTCTCTCACTGTTGTGGCCTCTCCCATTGCGGAGCACAGGCTCCGGGCGCCCAGGCTCAGCGGCCATGGCTCACAGGCCCAGCTCCTCCCCTGCATCGGCAGGCGGACTCTCAACCACTGCGCCACCAGGGAAGCCCCTACATAGCCATGTTTGTTTGGTGTTTCCTCCACCAGTGCTTATTAATCCTATGCCCTCTGGTAATCATTAGTACCAAGTTAACCTAATGGTAGGCAAAAAAGGGTGTGTGCAATTCAACACAACACACAACCATAAAAAGGCTTCAGCACACACTCTGGAGCAGTAGTGTCCTTGCTGGTGTCTTACTTGGCCCAGAACCCCCATTTACCTCCTCCACCCCCGCCCCCAGTGGAAGCCCCGCTTGAGGAATTCTCTCTGTGCCCCTAGGCGGGGGAGTGTGCGTTCTAGGCAAGCCAGCCTGACAGCAAGGAAAGGGGGTCCCCGGAGGAGTCTCCAGGGATGTAAAATCACAAAACAAAACCAAAAGGCAACGCGATACCTTGGGCCCACTAGCAGGCAGTGAACGCTTATCTGGGAAGGGTGTAGTAAGGAGGCTTGCGTGGCAATCAAGGTGGGCGGAGCCATCCCCATACAGGTGAAATCCTGCATCTGTTTCTGCACAGCTGGGCTCACAGCACAGTCAGCAGGACTTGGGGAAGCCTCTCGACACAGTCCACTCTCTGCAGCGGCCCAGAGACCCCAGAAAAAGTTCTCCTCGATGCAGCGAGCAGCAGTGTCTCATCGTTCTTGCTTTCTTCTATCTCCAGGACAGGGAGCTCCAAAGCCCAGGGCGGTGTTCTCCACCTGCAGCCTGGGAGTCCACTTTCTCTGTGTTTAGGAGCCCTTCCGCTCTGAGAAAACCAGTAAGGCCTCTCCAAGGCCGCCGAGCAGGAGGCTGCAAGAAACAGCAAGAGGTCATCTTTCCCCTCCCCGGAGCCTGGGGGCTGTGGACACACGGAGTTGCCTGGTGCTCACATACCGCAGGGCGAGGGATGCCCCCTCATCCCGCAGCTGAGCATCTTGTCCCCCGCCTGCACTGCCCCGCTTTGAGGTCAGGCCCAGGGACTGCCCGGTCGTCCAGGGTAAGCCTCAGCTGTGTGGGGGGAGGGGAGTGGGCTGCAAGGTGGGTTGTGATACCTCCCCTTAGGGAAGAAGGTGATGTGTCCCAACCATCCTGACCAGGTGGCAGTGACTGCCCTTCGTTAATGCTCTCTGGCAGAAATATTGGAGGAGGGCTTCCCACAGAGCTGCCTGGTACTTTTTGCCATAGAGGGTTGATGAATATAAAATCATGCAGATATCCATAATCTTATCGTTATTAAGCTGACAATCTCTGAATCCTTTTATTTCATTTAGACTAACAGAACATTTAAAAACAAAATACAAATGGGGAGGGGACCTCCCTAGTGGCGCAGTGGTTAAGACTCCGCACTCCCAATGCAGGGGGCCGGTGTTCAATCCCTGGTCAGGGAACTAGGTACCACATGCATGCTGCAACTAAGAGTTCACATGCCACAACTAAGGAGCCCGACTGCGGCAACGAAGACGCAGCGCAACCTAAATAAATAAATATTTTTTAAAAAAAGAATAATGAAGAAAATACAAATGGGGAATCGTGAATTTCCCACCAGAGCAGAAATATCTATATGGTCAGTGATTTGAAAATGAAAAAATAGCAGAACAGAAGAGTGTGAGAAAGAGAAGAGCTGGATATTTTAACATGCCTAAAATGTAATACAATGAAAGGTCTGCACATTTCCTATTTTAAACTTCTCAGTAGACAACCTGGTGTCGGTCTGACTCCCCTGTCATTCTTCCCCAAAAGCACTTCTAAGGCCTGGGATGGGCCACGAGTAAAGGATTTTGATGGGGGTCCCTGAGGATGAAATGCTCTTGTCCAGAGGTGCCAACAACCCCACAATCCCACCTTCTTCTTCCTTTTTTCTCCCATTTACCTGCCCAGTATCCCACTCCTCCTATACACCCACTCCTCCTATACACCCACTCCTCCTATACACCCACACACCACACTCTCACATTTGGGCTATTGCATCTCCATATTCCTAACATATATCTAAGGCACCGAATGTATGAAACACACTTAGGCTGTGCATATCCTGTTCCCAGTGAAAAATGTCACCTATGTGGGTGACTGCGACATAAAGATAACTTGTACCATGGACCATTTCCAGTATAGCAGTGAACTGAATAAGTGTGAGAATAGAAAAACAATAAGCTGAATTCAAACTGTGCTCAGGTGTTTTTAGCTACGTAATCCTGCAAGTGTTAGTCTGCTGTTTCCTCAGCTGCACCACAGGAGACAATCACATCTAACCATCTCTGTGAGGCTTAGAAGGACGTACTTGAAGCAGCTGACCCCCGTGTGCGGCCTACAATGGGCAAGCAATGAAATATTCTTCTTTTCTCGACTGCTCTCCCAGAGTAGGGATCCCTTTCTCAGCAGCCCTCACCACTGGCTGGCTTCCCCACCTCTGCTTGAAAACTCCTTGTGAAGGACCCATCCTGCTCTGCAAAGCCAGCTCTAGCCATGGGGTTCAGGCAAGCATCTATGGGCATCTGCGGGCATCTTGTGGCAGGTCCCAGGGCACGAGGTTCTTCCCTCCTGGAGGAAGTCCTGCCTCATACTGACCTGACAACCTCACCTGTGAGTCTAAGTTCTGCTTTCTAGAGCAACAGAGAACAAATCTACGCCCCCATCACCCATCTGCCAACCCTACAGAATGGGAAAATCCCCTGAACCCCCGCCATGTCCCCTCCCTGGTGATGTCAGGCCTCTCTCTCTCTGGGTGAGGGCAGAGAGGCGCCAGTCAAGTGACTGCACTGGGGAGTGGGCTGGGAGGATGACCCCCGAGCCCGCTAACAAGGGGGAAAGGGAGGAGAGGGGCCCGAGGGAGATGTCTGCCTGACAGCTTAAGCTCCAAGTTGGAACGTACTTTCCTCTTTCCTACAGAAGTATTATAATAGTGACAATAAGTCGATGAATTCTCTTTAACGCGTACTAAGCTCATAATAACGTAGCTGAAGTTTGTGTCTATATTACGAACCGAATAAATTTCTGAGGACTTTCCTAGATCTATACTCATCATTTATAGGACTGTTCCTGGGAGAAACTAGGGTCCAAGTTCCAAAAGACCGTATTGAGAAACATGACCTATTTGTGCTTGTCCTGGTCTAGTTCAGGGACAGACCCAGATGCTGGCGGGTTCTACTGCCTCTTCTCTTTGGATGAAGAAGGGCCTGGGAAGGGGAAGCCATTCATTTTGTACACAGGCTCACCTCTAAAGACCTGGCTTTCCCTCCTTAGCCAATCTGCTGTTTCCTTCAACATCCCTTAAAGAACGCACATACCAGCTTCTTAAACCCCTGGGAAAGCGCAGAGTCACCGTGACCTGATGCAAGATCTGTACAGAACTTTGGCTTTGGAAGAGTTTTATTTCTGCAAATGTAACAGGAGGGGGTCACAGTCATTTCCACTAATCTTCCTTAATCACCAGGGAGAACAGGATATCGGTTGGCTCTCCGCCACCCTCACACCTGCAGCTTTAGAACAATGCTGCAGCGAAATAAACTTGCATTTCATCCCCTTGGCTTAGCGAGTTAATGAAACACCTAGCAGCTTAGGGAACGCTGACATGCAAACAAACCTGGTTCCGTTTACTGTTAAGAGAGCCAGGGAGGTGAGCTTTGATGCTGTCTTCTAAACAGCGGGAGATGCTGACACAAGGAGGGGGGCAGGAATCTTAATCGCATTACAGCTGGTCAAGTCAGAGCTTTACTGGACTGTTTGCAAATCTTATAATCCCCATCATTCCTGAAATGAACAAACTTCATGTAACAAGGCATAAACATCAGATTGCAGAGCAGAGGCAGCCAGAAATAGTCATCACTCGCTTCTCTTCCAGGGGGTTATTTTCAGCGTCTCTCCACTCCTCTTTTCTCCCATCGGGAGCCAAAGGCCCCATCTCAATTATACATTTATTACTGTGGTGATTCAATGAATTCCTATGGAACCCTCCAGACAGAGGACAGAGACTGTATCCTTTCCCCAGCTGTAGGCCTAGCACTTAACACAACACCCAATAAATATTTACTCAGTGAGTGATGGAATTCTTATAACTGCTCCCCCTTTTCCCATCTGGATTCCAAACTATTTTTGTTTTTCTCTCTTTTCCTCACCAAAACTAATTCAGCACTCCCTTGGGGACTTGCTGAGTGACAGTTCACAATCTGATAAACTACTCTGTGTGGAAAGGTAATGAGCATAGTTATGAAGGCCTTTCTCAGCATTTTAAAGAAGAGGTTTCAAATTTTTAATTCAAATGAAAAACTTCAGACACTGTGGTCCTAGAGGCACTTTGGGGTGTGTGGAAGTTCTTTCTTCACCCCTAAATTCACTCTTCCTACAAAGAGACTTGGGCAGTCTCCAAGCATTCCCCTAAAATTAAAGGCACAGACATCTCTACTCAGAGAGGACAGAAGACCATTTTCTAAAGACTCTTGGTGTTAATGAGGTTGGAACTGGAATCAAGTTGAAGCGATCCTCGTGTTTGCAGCCCAGGCTCAATGGCAGGCCCGGTGAATGATGGGCAAAGGTGAGGAGCTGATCACGAAATCCTACAAACAAACAGGTTGTGCTTTGGTTATTCCTTTCTCTCCTTGTCCCTAAACTGTTCCACAGAGAAGAGTGACTCTCTTTGTCTAAGGAGGATTCGAAGAGGAGGCACACACAACTAATTCTACTCGACAGGAACATCACTCACAGTTCAGAGTTTTTTTCTTTTGTATGTGTTGAATCCCCTTTGCCGAAATTTTAGAATAGAGGGAACTCATTATCGATCTGCACTGTAAAATGTTGTTAATTAAAAAATGAATACATATTAATCTGGAAATTTAAATTACTGGGCTTGTCATAGATATTAAAATACTGGGCTTTTATAGTTAAAAACAAGGTAATTAGCTGGACAAGAGCAGTTGCTTTTTTATACATATAAATTTATTTATTTATTCATTTATTTATTTTTGGCTGTGTTGGGTCTTCGTTGCTGCGCACGGGCTTTCTTTAGTTGCGGCGAGCAGGAGCTGCTCTTCGTTGCAGTGTGTGGGCTTCTCATTGCGGTGGCTTCTCTTGTTGCAGAGCACGGGCTCTAGGCATGCGGGCTTCAGTAGTTGTGGCACGCAGGCTCAGTAGTTGTGGCGCACGGGCTTAGTTGCTCCAAGGCATGGGGGATCCTCCTGGACCAGGGCTCAAACCCATGTCCCCCGCACTGGCAGGTGGATTCTTAACCACTGTGCCACCAGGGATGTCCCCAAGAGCAGCTGCTTTTAATTAAAGGCTTTAAAAGTTGACCAATGTTGGGGGCTTAGGCTTACCATTTTTCTTGGGTACAGGATTGAGAAGCCTAGTACCTGTTGATTCAGCAAACGGTGCCGGAAGGAGAGACGCAAAGGTGAGCAAAACGTGGCTCCTTTCCTGGAGGAGCTTCAGCCAGCAGGTGGGCAAGGAGTGCACACCTGTCACGCCGTGTGGTTCATGCTGATCGTGGAACACAGAGCGGGCAGCAAGGGCTGCCCAGGACCTGACCCCGGAGCTGATCCAAATCTCTAATTAGGAGATAAGCAAGTTCCTTAAGATCCTGCTGAAATTTCAAATGGCATGTCTCCACTAACCACCTCACAACTTCAGATCCGTGATTCCCAACCGGGGCGATTCTGCCCCTAAGGGAACCTTTAGCAATGTCCTGAGACGTTTTGCATTGTTACAGTTGAGGGGGTGCTACTGGCATCTAGTGAGGTGAGGCTCAGGTTTGCTGCTAAAAATCCTACAGGACACAGGACAGCCCCTCACAGCAAAGAATTATCTGGCCCAAAAACGTCAACAGTGCTGCGGGCGAAAAACCCTACTTGAGACAATGAGCTATTTTGTGCCTCTAAGCTGTTGCCCACCCACGAAGGTGGACAGTTAATTACATGGGCCCTCGTCTCCTGGAGGGTGACCTCTCTGGGGTCTTGGACGGTGTCTGGAGCCTCAGAGCCCAGCAAGCACTTCTTATAGAATGAATGAACGTACAAGCAAATGCAGGCGAGGATATCGGCTGATCCGGGGTCCCCGCCCTCAGCCAGACTGCAGTGGTGGCAGCTACGCTCACTCACGGAGCCCGTGTCCACTGAGCGGGCAGCCTCGACCCACTCCAGCGACTGCTGCTGTGTGGACGTGCAGGCCCAACTTAACAGCTGTTCCGTATTTTTAAAAGAATCTGGAGATCTGGATTTGTACAGGGAAATCACCTGATTTCTAAATGCTGAGTAATTTGAAATTTGAAAATCAAAAAAGAAGAAACAATGACTATACAGGCAAACACAGTAGGTCCAAACAAAACAGGCCTGCAGCCCTGCCTTCTCACTTCCGATCAGTCTAAGCTCCCACAGGACAGAGACTGGCCTCGGATCCCTGCCCAGGATCCGAGCTGGTCACCCAGTCACAGCTTGAACACACCCAGTCTATGGACAATGCAGATCAGCTCTGTGCAAAAGACAGGAAATCTGAAACACAGTCTGACATTCCTCTTCTGGCGGTTCACTTTGTGGTTGGAAAATTCTTTGAGGCTGAAAACACACGATCCTTAAATTCGAGAGTTCTCAAAAGTCAGGAAATTCCAAAGTCAAGGTTCCTTTTGCAATAATCACACGTGCTGTTTCCTTGATTTGGGTATACACAGCCCTTCTTTCCATCTTGTTCAGGGCGTACCACGAAGTCCACAGGATGTGGAACAGCCTGGAGATATGGCCTACGCACAGACGGCTGCTGGAACCTTCAGACTAAGCGTGGCCTCCCCACTGGAGAGCATCTCAGGCTCATTTCTCACACTCAGTTCAACACCTGGGTGTTTTTTGTTTTTCTGCTGTTTTTTTAATTCATTCTGAAATTGTATACAAAATACAATCAATGAGGCTTATTTGTAAGAAGGAAAATTACTGTCAAGAGTTGAGACGATCACTATGAAGGGTAAGATACAGAAATTGGGGGAAGAGTCTCGAGGATGCACCAGGATATCTTGGCAGTTAGGTTTTTGGACATCAACCTGCCTGTTTGTGTCCTGCCTTCCCAGAAGGACAGGTGCAGAGTAAGAAGGAGGGAGTGTAGGATCAGCTCCCTGCCCCCCAGCACCAGCTCCGGTTCCAAATCGCGAAGTCTCACCATTGGCACCTCTTGCCCCTCCATCCTTCCCTGTCCTCTCAGGGCTGGAGGGACCAAATACTCTTCCACCCCCAGTCTGACTAAGCCTCTCCCTTCTGCATCAGGTCCAGTTTCAAGTCAGTTCCAAGGCCCTCCAGCTCACCCCACCCTCTCTCTCTCCTCCAGTCTTCACATTCATTGTGCATTCAAACGGTTACTATCCTACTGCAGAAATTATCTTTATGACTTCTTCTCCCGAAAACTCCTTGAAGGCTGGATGATGTCTTACGTTCCTTAATGACTTCCATGTGCTTTTCATACAGCAGTCACTCAATAAATATTGTTAGTTGATTGATAGAATTATAGCCTCTAGTGTTATAAATCTAAGGCTGGACTTCCCTGGTGGTGCAGTGGTTAAGAGCCCGCCTGCCGATGCAGGGGCACGGGTTCGAGCCCTGGTCCGGGAAGATCCCACATGCCGCAGAGCAACTAAGCCCATGCGCCACAGCTACTGAGCCTGCGCTCTAGAGCCAATGAGCCTGGAGCCCGTGCTCCACAACAAGAGATGCCACCGCAGTGAGAAGCCCGAGCACCGCAACAAAGAGTAGCCCCCGCTCGCCGCAACTAGAGAAAGCCCATGCAGCAACGAAGACCCAACGCAGCCAAAAAATAAAAGAAATAAATTTAAAAAAGAAATCTAAGGCAATGAAATCCTTTTCCTAAAAATGTTCCACTGGACATTCTTAGTTCACCGTGTCAGCCCCTGAACAAGAAATAGAGCCGTTTTGTCCTGGGTAACGCTCCTTCTGTACTCCTGCCATATCATCTAGATGCTCTTTATAAACGATCAGACCGCTGGGAAGAGAAACATTTAGGCCAATGTCTCTTCCACCTCTCCATGACCTGCTTCTACCTAGACACTATCTACGCTGCTGCTAAGTCCTTGGCGTTTCCCACGTCATTTCTAGGGAGGTATGTGAAGTTTATGGGATGTTGGACACACACAGACCTGGGTTTGAATCCTGGTCCAATCACCTAGTAGCTCTAAAATCTTGGGACAATCAGTTAAATGTCTCTGAACCTCAGCTTCTTCATCTTTAAAACGGGGCTAACTTGGAGGGTTGTTGTGAAAGTTAATGAGATAATATTAATATAAAAATGTCTGAAATATAGTAGTTGCTCAATAAATGGTTATTATTAGTCAAAGGAAGAGGTGAGACTAGAAGGAGGAGGAAGAAGAGGAGGGTGTGCGAGTATTTCCTAATTTTTCTTTTCCTTCCGTTTTTCTTCTTGGGGCAGGAAATGCCCCATTAGGGGCTCCTGAGAGGGGTTGAAAATAGCTTTCACCGAATGCCGTGAGCAAAAAGATTCATTTCTGTCAGTCTGGATGGTTTAGGTGCAGACCTGCCCTCAGGCAGGGAGATGAGCAATAACAGACATCCCAGGGGCAGTGACTTTACACTTTTATCCGAGAGCTGTTCCTGGCACACAGAACCCCAGGAAATATCTGTTTATTGAACCAACCCCTCCCAGCCCAAAGCCACATGAGATGCAAAGTCACCTCCTGGACTTCCTCATCATGGTATTCCCAGAGCCTGGTCCTGCCCCTCACATTTATCTTTCAAGAACCTCATATTGATGTTTAAAAATGACACCATTTTTGTGTGTGTGGCTATGATGGCACAAGGCAGGGGATTATTTGCAAGACGTCCTGGGAGAGGGGAGGCTGCCCTAGACACACTGAGCACGAGTACCGGCCCCACCAACCAGCACTGTGGCTTTTGAGCAAACAGGTGACAATTCTGCAGGTCCAATGTGCACATGAATGCAAAAAAGTGGAGGGAGGGGGTGGGAGGAACCAACCCTTAGAATTACTCTCAGCCCCAGAATGGGAAAAAATATGGACTTTCTAGAACTACGCCTTATTTGAGCAAAGCTAAGCAACAATATGCTTTTTCTTTCCATCATGCTGGTAAAGAAATGGAAAAACCTATTCCAAAACTTGACTGCCATTCCATTTTGGCGTGCCATTCTTGGGGCGGGGGTGAGGGGGGATTGCCAAACAATGCATCCAAAGTGGAATGGAAATAAGCTTTATCTTCAAGTGGCCCTAAGCTTCTTTTCCTTTTTAAAACAGAGGTTAAGAGACCAGTAAGTAGCAACAACAAATATGACTTATTCTCCATAATGCGCCGCATTAGTGATTCAGGCCGGACAGCAGGCAGCCGTGGTCATAGCGGAGGAAAGCTGTGGGTCATCCGGCCAGCAGCCGGCAGGCTGGGCGAAGACTTGGCAAAGACTGACCCATTCCCGGGTGACTGAGAGGCTCGTCTTGCTCGACAGGCACCCGTCGGTGTGGTTTCACTTGGCAGACGATAGAGCCCACCTCCCTCAGCGCGGACATCCTGACCAAACAGTGCATCGTTCTCACTGTTGAATCAAACTGGTGTGACTTCTGGCACGTGGAGACGGTGGAAGCAGAGGATGACAGGCCTTTACTTTTTACTCGATGCATTTCTGCATTGTCTTAAACGTCTCACAAATAGCACCCGTTACTATGTAGATTTAAAAGACGTAAGTATATACCCCCCAAATAAAGCACGCCCACGAATGAGAGGAGCAACAGAAGTCTTAACAGTTTAAACTCACCATCACTCCCCACCTCGCCTCATCTTCCCTGAAGATGACAGCGACAGCCCTTGGTAATGATCACATCAGCGGGTTTGAATGCTAGCAAGCTGGAGTGGATCAAAGTCCTAACTCCGTCAGCTGTCCGATCGGCAGTCTGTGTAGAGCGTTCGGAGGTAGGACCCTACAGCCCATCTTCCACACGGCAGACTGAGGAATGTGTTTTTAACCTAGGAGCAAGTGGCTCCTCTGCTCAGAATCCTCTGATCGCTTCCCCCCTCACTCTTACAATGGCCTTTAAGACCCCACATGGTCAGCCACCAACCAGCCTCATCTCCTACTACTCTCCCCCATCAACCTGTTCCGGCCACACTGCTCCTTGAGCAGACCAAGCACACTCAGGGCCTTTGCACTTGCTGCTCCCCCCAGGGTCCCCAGGGCTCGCTCCCCCACTTCCTTCAGGTCTCTGCTCAAATACGGGAGGGAGAGGCAGTGCTGTCTTTAAGCAAATGGATGGGTGCATTCTACACAAAGATGATCTGGAACTTGACTAGGAGAAAATGAATGGAAGGGTCAAAGGCAAAAACACAAACATAGTTAAAGTTATATGCACGCATAATTAGTGGCTCACCTAGAGTGGTTGCTCTCGTGTGCATGAGTGACTGAAAGGTGTACCACTGATGCTCTGGTTCCTGCCCCGGATGCTGGCTACTGCAGGTGTGGTATATTCAGTTTGTGAAAATATTCATGATAGATGCACTCTTCTGAATGTATATTTATATGTCAATAAAATATATACCCAAACACACACCCTTTCTTCAACATTTGAGAGCAAATATTAGTATCCCAAGGAAACACAAACAACGAATTTTCTTCTCCTCTCTCTATGCAAAAGACTTACCATCCCATGGTGGCCCTGGTCAGGATCATATCAAACAGCAATATCGATAAACCAGCCGTGATCACCTGCAGAAATCATTTCAACAAAAGGTCATCAGAGCAGCAGGCCCTCGGCAACCTTCTCCAAAGCCATTCTTCACAAGCTTAGTTTGTACTAGTTCAGATCCCAGACGTCAGCCATGCCTTCCCACTTCATGACTTTTTGCCCCAAATACTTCCTAGTCCCCCTAATTACCTTTCCCAAATACCCCTGTATTTAGCGGAAAACGCTAAGTTCTAGCCTATTCTGAGGTGAGAATCTTCAAAGAAACATTTAACTTCCAAACTCTTCAAAGGAGGAGTTTGAAAGCCAACATCCAAACTCGTCTCTCCCCTGGGCAGGGGCATAGCAAGAATCCCTGTTTCCATCTTGTCTCAGCTGTGCAAAAAGAATCCTCAGGGTCAGAAGTACTCATTCACCTGTTCCCAGATCCTCCAGCTAAAAACCTAGCTGTCAACCTGCCTTTGCTAACACACCGTCTCTCGCCCTGCCCTAATGCCCCTGTCTTTCTGGCCCGTGACACACATTGTAAGAAACCAGGTACTTCCTAAGGGAGGGAGCAATGAAATCATTAATTAATTACTTGCAAACATCTAGAAGCCACAGGAGAGGGAAGAGGTTAGTCCACATCTCTCAGAGCTAGAAATTACATAAAAGTCTCTTAGGAATGGCAGTAACAGGACTCAGCCTCCAGCGGTGCCTCTAAGCATCGGCACAAAAAGTTTTGAGAATCAAAGACCCAACTTTGGAATGTCTGCTCAGGAAAGATGTTTTTTCCCAGAATTCTGCATTCTGGAATACAAAACGGCTTCCATGAGGAAGGTCACCCTAAGGACTTGCTTCCTTGCAATGAGAAGAAGTAAGAAGCAAGCCGTATCGGGATGGGTCATGCAGGCTGGATGCCCTCGGAGATGTCAACTGCCATGTCATTCAAGGGGACGTCATGTCCGGTCTTGGAGGCCTCTTCAGGTCCGAAGCCGGGAACAAGGCAACAAGCAGATGGTCAGAAGGAGGGAGTGTGTTTAATGGGTCTCATCTTCATTCATTTACCATCTCAAAAAGAAGTCTGGAAACATAAACCAGGAACATTCAGTACAGAAACTCCGTGAGCTCTTAGAACCTTTGTGGTAGTTTATTCATTTCAGGTCACTTTCTGTTTGCTTTCCTTGATTAATTTGCAGCAAAAACCTTGATAACGAAAAAGACCTATGGTGTCTTCAGGAGCAAAAAAGAAGTGGCAACAAGGTCAGAGAGACAGTTGCAAAGTAGAAAGCAAAGGACAAGAGGAAACAGATTTCTCAAAGTGAAAACGGAGCGGTGGCTTTTATCTTAAAGAGCTTTTATCTCAAAGAGCAGCTCTTCTTCCCCCATCCTGCCCTCTTCTTATTTGGCATTTTATATTTAGGACTTTTGTATCTATGGTCATAAATGAAGTGGGCCTAAAATTTTATTATTTTGCAATGCAATTGTCTGGTTTTGGAAACACGGTTATACAAACCAGATGAATTAATTCATCAGCTTCCCTGCTTCTTTTCCTATAAAGGATAAAGATGGTCTTTCCTGTGGTCTCTACTCTGACCTGACTGCCTCTGGACCTGGAGCTTCTAGTTGGGGTGGGCTTTAATCATAGTCAAGTCCTCTCTTTCTCCTGGATTCAAGTTTCTCATTTTCATTTTTTCCAAAAATGTTTTTCATCTATGTTTTCCACTCATTAACATTTAGCAGTTTGGAGAAATATTATTTTATCTTTGTGCCCATTTTTATCACCTTCCCTTTATTTAAAATAAATTTATTTATTTATTTACTTTTGGCTGCGTTGGGTCTTCGTTGCTGCACGTGGGCTTTCTCTAGTTGTGGCGAGCGGGGGCTGCTCTTCGCTGTGCTGCTTGGGCCTCTCATTGCGGTGGCTTCTCTTGTTGCAGAGCACGGGCTCTAGGCATGCGGGCTTCAGTAGTTGTGGTGCGCAAGCTCAGTAGTTGTGGCTTGCAGGCTCTAGAGTGCAGGCTCAGTAGTTGCGGCACACAGGCTTAGTTGCTCTGCGGCATGTGGGATCTTCCCAGACCAGGGCTCGAACCCATGTCCCCCGTATTGGCGGGCAGATTCTTAACCACTGCGCCACCAGGGAAGTCCCTATCACCTTCCCTTTTGTTCTTACTTTTGTTGTCATTTTCTCTTACTTTTTTTTTTTCCTTTCCTTCCTTAGTCTTAACCAAAGTTAATCTCATTAATCCCTCTTTACTTTTGCAACTTCTTGGACATTTCCTGGGATGGTGCCAACAGAGATTTATTTCTTGGAATTGCTGAAAAGGCCTCCATTCTGCTGACGGAGGTTAGTGATGGCAGCTTGGTGTTAACGGAACAACTCATAACGTTTCTGAAGCCTTTCTTAACTCTTCACCATTGTGTTCATCTCCTTTGCCCTTTTTACCAGCTTTTTTCCAACTTCACTGAGGAATAGTTGACAAATATAAGTGTATCTATCTAAATGGCACAACGTGATGATTTGATATACATATACATACATGGCCTCCACTAATTGTCTTCTCTGATGGCTTTTTCCATATGACTTTAGTCTCCTTTGTGGAACCATCCCCTCCCACATGCCCTGCAACAGTCATAGCTGAGGGCTTGTGGCTCTGTTCCTCTACGAGTTTCTTCAGCTTAGGAGGAATCTCGTCTTCCATGAGATAGACAGCTGGCCTGCTTGTTCCTATTAACTGCACCTTTTGCCAAGAAAAATACCTCTGAGAATTTTCAAACCAGCCCTTACTTGAAAATAAGGTTGGTTTATAGCCAGACTGGTGCCTTTCCATCTGCCGCTTCCTGGAAACGTCTGCATGGTCTCCTGCCTTTCTCCTGGGCCCCTCTTTCAAACTTCTCTAAATTTTTCTCTCTCAATGAGCAAATCTTCTGCTGGCTGAGACACTCAGTGAAATTTCACAAGAAGGTTTGTCTTCTTTCTGCAGGGAATTTATAGTGAACTTGTTTATTCGGTAGAGCTACTGGGGAGGCAGATGGGTCACTTTTTAATCAATTTCCAGAAGGACCCTCAGTTCCTTAGGCTTCTCTGCTTTCTTTTACCTCCATCACCAGCCCCAGCGGTCAGATCTTTTAGAAGCATTTCCCATCACCCTCTTCCCCCCCGCCCCGTGTGTGTGTGTGTGTGTCTCTCTCTCTCTCTCGCTCACACACACACACACACACACACACAGTCACCAAAGTTCTACCACGTCACAAAAGTCACAGCGTAAGGGATGAGTAGCAGCTGACAACACCCCACTGAGGGGTGGACCCTGGGCAGGTGTCCAGCCCGACTCACCCACTAAGTGACTTGCACCCACACATCCATCTCAGCCTGTATGAGCTTCAAGGTCATGCCCCAGCAAAGCAACAGATTTCCATACGCCATGGGCCATCAGGGCTGCTCAAAAACACTGGGAAGTGTGTGAATGACAAATCTGCTCGTGCTAAGAGTCCACTCCACTTCTAACTCCACCGAGGAACAAACGGAAGCCAGGTGAACCGATCTTTCACCTTCACCGCTGACTGTGCAAGTCTGGGTACAGAATGTCCCATGCAAGGGCACCTGGGGGCAGAATTCGGGAGGTGCAACCGACTCCCTAAGCTCAGAGGTGGGGAAACGGTGACCCAGAGATGGTGTGTGACTTGCTCCAGGCCCCGGCGACTTCACGGCAGGGAGCAGTGGAGTCAAGGCCCTGACTCCCAGGTCAGCCTTCTCTCACAGCCAGAAAGGCCCCACATGAGCTCCATGCAGCTTTTTTGAAAATAAGAGTCCACTAAAAGCAGGGACTCAGATATCTGCAAGCCCATGTTCAGAGCAGCATTATTCACAATAGCTAAAACTTGGAAGCAACCCAAGTTCCCATCAATGGATGAACGAGTAAGCAAAACGTGATATATATATATATACATACACACACACAATGGAATATTATTCAACCTTAAAGAGGAAAGAAATTCTGACATATGCTATAACACGGGTGAAGCTTGACATTATGCTCAGTGAAATAAGCCGGACGCAGATGGACAAATACTGTATGATTCCACTTATGTGAAGCACTTGGAACAGCCAAACTCACAGAGATAGAAGGTAGAATGGGTGTTACCAGGGCCCGGGAGGGGTGGGAAATTAGTGTTTACTGGGTACAGACTTTCAATTTACGTTGATGAATGTCAGTAAAAGCATAAACTTTTTTTCCTAACCTTTAAAACGGCTAAAATCTGCCCACGAGAAAGACTCCAAGTTACTCTTGGGGCTTGCCATTCAGGAGATGGAAGTAGCAGCCGTCACTGTCAATCGTTGTTCTTGCTTTCAAAAAGCATTTAAAAAAAAAAAAAAAAAAAAGAAATACAAATGTTTCCCCAAAGAAGAAAGAGCCCTGTGGTCTGAGGAATGTCTGCCTTGCGCACATGAGGACCTGAATGACAAACACCAGGACCTGCCACGGTTTGGGCTGCCAACAACAGCAGAACTCAATACATTGTGTCAACGGCGGGGCTTTGAACTTCCTGGATTTGTCAATGGATGTCACAACCTCTGTGTTATTTAAACAGATTTTAGTATTTAAAGCAGATCAGGTTTGTTTTTTAAACATTCATTTCGATCCTGAGACAAATTTCCTGTTTGTTTAAGGGAAAATAAAGAGGAACAGTTGTTGATGGGAACCCGCCAGAGAGTCGTGTATTTGGAAGAGAAGCAGAGATTTAGCTTTGCTGTTTGTTATTGTTTTGATGTTACTGTTGTTGTTGTTGAAGTACATAGGACACAAGGAAAAAGTGGCCAATGGCAGCGTGTATACAAGGCCCTTCACCGTAACTGCCCCGGTTTCAGCCATGCACCTCCCACGTAAACTGGTTATAGGTTTTCAAACCCTGTTTCATCCCATCATCTTGCCTTTGCTCAGCAAGTTTTCTCTACCTGGAATAATTTCACAGGCCTCCTCAAACAATCCCTATTCACCTTTTGAAAATCCATTTCTAAAACTTTTCCTGAGTGGATCAGAAG